AACATGAATGGAAATTATTATTGTAGAATTTCTGGTAGTGACAAAAAGAACGGGAAATAAAGCAAATACACAGTAGGGTGGCTAAATAAATGGCAGGGGATTTGTAAAATGGAATACTGCCGGGCATAGATGAAGAGCTTTAGCTACTCATGTTAGCAATGGTAAGTCACATGAACAAGTAAGGTCATGCACAGGTAAGTGGCAGAGGAGACCATATGACATAGTTCCACTTTCAAAGTCTGTGAATATTCAAAAGTAAACAATATATTGCTTCAAGATTCAAATGTGGAAAGCACGTGAAAAACAGAGAACATGGTGGGTGGGTAGAATCAGGAAGAGGTTATTAGGGAAACATTCCCAAGAGCTTCCAAAATTCTGATTTTTGTCTTGGCTACACAGGTGCTCATTATATCATACATCTTTGTCATCGTAGCATGTTATAAATATTTTGGCATCAGTTCAATATTTAATCAAAAGGATGGAAAGGTTGTCTGATAATCACTCAGTCTGTCATTCTTTGCTCATCTTCAATGTCTGCATTAGTAATGCTACTGTTGTTTTATTTTGCCACCTGCAATTTAGGTGTTAAAGAAAGTTCACTTCAGAAATTTGTTCAGAGAAGAAAAACATCCTTTATATTTCTGTGTCTATAGAATCGAAGATGAGTATAGGAAGTGAGTGTTTTGCGTATAGTAGATATCAGAGAAAGTGAATCGCTTTGACTTAAAAGGATCAGGGTCTTGTCAAAATGACTGCAATTTTCTCTGAACCATGGAACATTGGGTCTCAGAATTTACAGTGGATTTTTTCTTTCATTTAATTTCTGTGCCTCTCCTGTTAAGCTAGTCTCCTAGTGTCCACCCCTTCAGGAATTCTAAGGAATCCAATATCCCGAGGAATCATAAGGAATCCATTATCCTTTGGCTCTACCCAAAGCTGGTATGGAGTGGAGCTGGAGAATTTTAATTGCCCATGGTCTTAGCTGCAAGAAACACAGATGGACAGACCAGGTTTAAGATGGAACAATTACCAGGTAATTCCAGGTAGTGCCATCTGTCAGATTACCTACTTAATTTGTTGCCACATAATTAACTCCAGGACCTTAATTATCTCCACTCATTATCAGCGATCATCATCTTCATTACCACGTATGATCACTACCCCCAAATGTATCTTAAGCAGAGGAATCCATGGCCAAGTTCAGTTTTAAAATCCAGGTCTTGTCCTCCACGTTTGTAATTTAGCTAGTAAAGATGAAGACGTGGTCAAGAAAGAGACACAGAGTATAAATAAACACGAATCAACATTAAAAATTGTAAAACAAGCCAGGAAGGTTGATTCTATAAACTTCAGTGCCAACATCTAATACATAAAGCTTGATTAAAGTTGTTTCATTATATGTGAGACTTTATTTTTTTAACTAGTGGTTACACACTGGGCTGCTAACTGCAAGGTCAGTAGTTTGAAACCACTAGCCCCTCCTCTGGAAAAAGATGGGGCTTTCGAGTCTGATGGCATTACAACCTTCAGGGGCAGTTCTACCATGTCCTTTAGGGTTGCAGTAAGTTGGCATCACTCGACGATGTCAGTGAGTTTGGTGTTTTAATGTTTATAGTTACTTAAATGGTATTTCCAAAAAAGAGAGAAAGTAATTTAAAGTTTTATAGAACAATTGGTGCAGAAAAAGTGCCCTGATGGTGTAGTGGTTAAATTAAACACTTGGCTGCTAACCAGAAAATGGATCGTTTGGACCCAGCAGATGCTCAGAGGGAGAAAGATGGCAGTCAGCTTCCACAAAGATCCACTGCTTGGGAAAGCTAAGGGGAAATTCCACTGTGTTCTGTAGAGTTGCTGTGAGTTGAGATCAAGTTGAAGGCAGTGGAGTTTGGATTAATGCTGCAGTACATAAAGCTATTTGCTTGCCCCCTTTAAGCCCCTCAAATAGCCATGTGTTATATTTACATGCCTATTGTTTATTTCGACAGACTTGCTTATTGTTTCTTTCGACAGACTTTTCAACTTCATTTTAACTTGATTTTTTTCTTGTGGGCTGAGCTATTCTTTGCAGCTCCAAAATATCTCTTGTTTCACAAGAGTTTGTGAAAATGTGTTTGTGAAGATGGGGGTTAGGGATGGAAGAAAGGGCATAAGCTTAGGTTTAAATACTGATTTTGTCATTGGCTGCTTGTTGGATCCTTGAAACATTTCTGAACCTCATCTTTACATCTGTTAAATGGGCAAACTGATTCCTATCTTCAAATTAATTAAAAGAGAATATTCTATGTACCTGATGCATGGCAGAATTGATTCAATGGGAGTGAGTTTGGTTTGGTTTATTCCATGTGTAATATGCAGTATATAGTAAATATTCATGAAATGTTAATCCCTTTGTTAGTAAAAGAAGAGTCAAGTTTATTGAATTAAATTATTTCATGTGAGCAAATAGAAGGTGGAAGTAATGCATCCTGTTTTACCTGCTACGATGAAGCCATCGGTGTCTCCTAAGAGCGAGGCATTGATATTGCTTAGTGACTCCGGGTTAGGTACTGGGCTGCTGAATACAGTGTTTGCAGTTGAAACCCACCAGCTGCTTTGAGGGAGAAACATGAGACTGTCTTTTCCCTCAATCCTTTGCAGTCTTGGAAACCCTGCATGGGTGTAAGGCCATTGCGTGTCAGAAACAACCTGGTGGCAGTGGGCTTTGTTGTTTGGCATCTATTTCTGGAAGCTAGCAAAAGTTTGTGATGTGGCTCTGCTACCCAAGTTGCAAGTCCAAATTGCTGCCTATTCACCTTTCTATTGGAATGGATTTTTTCCCCTAAGCAAATGCAGAAATAACAAAAAAATACAATGCAATAAAATAGGGAATTTTACTGTAAAGAACCTGAAATTTTTGTCTTAAAGCGAAGAATTTGCTGAAAGATGATTCGATTGACTCAGTTTGACAGCATATTAAAAAAATATTTCTTTCTTCCCGTATTTTTTTGCTTTGATGGTTTTTTATTTCTATTTTTGGCTTCAACAAACAGGAATTTGTTTTGTCATGGTGTGATCATTATATAATCTGTTGTCAATTTGATAGGATTAAAGGTGAAAGGGTGGAGTTTAGCCTGTCAGTCAGGTTGCAGCTTGATGACCTCATTTAGAGGCGCTAAGGAGATAAATAGTTCCCTGGAGGCAGGATGTAGGCTCACTCCCTGGGAGACATTGCAGCTGACAAGACACATGGAGCTATGCTAGTGCCCTGAGCTGGAGGAGCCATGTGGAGACCACTGCCAGCACTGAGATTCTTACAACGCCCCTGGATCCTTAAGATTTCCCACCCACTGGCCTGTGATCTTCCTGCATTTGGCGCCATTGCATGTGTTTTGTGAGTCTGGAGAGGAAATTATAGACTGGTATCGGACATATGGGCTAATATCAGAGTTATGGACTTGATCTGGACTGGGCTGGGATGTTTTCGTAATGTACACTAACTCTTTATAAAAAGCTCTTTCTTATACACATATGTGTCTATGAATTGGTTTCTCTAGTCTACCCGGACTCACACACATGGTTTAGGAGACTCAGAGTCAGAGTTCAGAGTGCTGGCTCTAGGGGAAGGCGTTCTCTGTTGCCTCTGGAGAAAGTATTTATCTTTCTCTCTTTTAAAAAATGTTATTGGGAGCTCTTACAGTTTTTATAACAATCCATACATTCATCCATTGTGTCAAGCATGTTTGTACCTATGTTGCCATCATCAATTTCAAAACATTTTCTTTCTACTTGAGTCATTGAAAAAACTTGAAAAAAAATTCAATTTGCTTTGAGAAAAAGAATGTATAAAGTCAGAGACCAAAAAAATAAGGTAGATTTGTGCAAGCACTTGTTGTTCATTGGTCTGTAATTTGCTCAAATAACCTCAAACTTACTGCCATCAAGTAGATTCCAACTCATCGTGTCCCCATAGGACAGAGTAGAAATGCCCTTGTGGGAATCCATCCTTATGAGAGCCGACAGTCTCATCTTGCTCCTTCAGAGTGGATGGTGGGTTGGAAGCACCTACCATATTGTTAGCAGCCCCATGCTTACCTGACAGCACCACTGTGGTTCCTTTTCACTCAAATTTTACATAATTATTTTCCCATAATTAAGGTGATGTAATGTTATCAGTCACTTGGGAAATAGTGAATTGTAAAAGTATGAATATGCTTTTACTTCTTGAACTGAAATGGGAGGGCTGGATTGAGCTATGCCCTTGTCATAATAGTGTCTTATTAACATGACCTTCATTCTTCGATCTTTCTTTTTATTTCTTCATGTTACTCTTTTCCCCAAGTACACAGTGGATTTGCCACACTCTTTGGGTCTTCCCTTAATTTCTGCTGTATGTCTAGTACCTCAAAAACAAAAGCAAACTCACTGCCATCAAGCCAATTCTGACTCATTGCAACTCTATAGGATAAAACAGCACTGCATCCTCTCCACCCCCCTACCCCCACACTGTAGGCTTCTGAGACCGTACTTCATTTTCAGGAGTAGAAAGTCTCATCTTTCTCCCATGAATGGCTGTTGGAGTTGCAATTTTCATTGCTCTGGGAAATATTTATTGAGTATCTACTTGTGTCAGGTATAGGGCTAAATGTTGGAAAACGAGTGGTGAGTAAAGTACAGATGAAATCTGTACTGGTCAAGAGGATGGCAGGGTCATGTGTGGATTCTGATGGAATGGACATTTGAGGGCAGAGATAGAGTTAGCAAAGTGGAGGATCATTGAGTGCACGCATGTATTAATGGCACTTCTGACAGTTTTGCCTTTGCAAAACTGGTGGGAATGGTCATGGGAGGGCAAAGAGGAGAAAGTTCCAAATGTCCGAAAACACTCTTCTCAGTATTGACCTTTATCTTCACATTAACGCTTGGCAAAACAAGAAGCCCTGTTGCGTAATGCGTTCCCTGTTATCCTTCTGGCGGGTCAGGTGAAATGGTTCTGAAAAGTCCCAGGGTCTCAGTGCATTTACCTTTTTTCATCATGTCGGTAAGATGAAGAGGTCCGGCCACTGGTCCATATAAACATCTTAGAGGATGATGGTCCAGGGGCTCCTTTCCTTAGCGTAGAAGTCCTGGAGGAATGGCGGAAAGACCTGGAAGAGAAGATACGCACTGATGTTAAATCCACTACTTGAGGTATGGAGGCTTCTCCAGCAACAGAAACCAGGAGGTCCCAGTGAATTATATCTCTTAAATAAGATCCAGCTTCCAAAGCCCTGGAAGTATCGATGTGGTACAAATGGTTGAAGTGTTTTACCCTTAACCAAAAGATTGGAGGCCAACTCCACCCAGAAGCTCATTGAGTCTTCTCAGAGGCCTTAGAAAGGCTGATAACCTGTTTCAGAAAGACCGGCTATTAAAGTCCTATAGGGAACAGTTCTATTCTGGCACACACGGAGTCACGGTGAATTGGAGTCAATTGGATGGCCCCTGGCTTTCTGATGCCACTGGATCGTAGTTCGTTACTCAGGGTACACATTAAGACCAACTGGGAATCTTTTAGAAAACACAAATCCTGGGTCTCTACCTGAGAACTTTGTTCGCAAAGTTTTTAAAGCTTGTGGTAGTTACAGAATCTGGTGTCAGTTTGAGGATTAAGAGTGTAGGGGTGGGAGTGTAACCTGTGTGGGCATGGCCTGCCCCTGAGGATCCTCAGAATTCCTGTATTTCCTCCTTGGAGGCAGGAGACACACACTCTGTCTCTGCTCACTCCCTGAGAGATCCTCAACTGAGAAGACACATGCCACTACGCTGAAAGACCCCGTGCCCTGGAACTGGTGGAACCACATGGAGACCCCACCAAGCGCTGAGATGTTTACAATGCCACTGGATCCACAAGACTTCCCACCCACTGGCCTGTGATCTTCCTGCATTTGGTGTCATTGCGTGTATTTTGTGTGCCTGAAGAGGACTTTATAGATTAGTATCAGACATATGGGCTAATATCAGATTTATGGATCTGATCTGGACTGGGCTGGGATGTTTTCTAAATATTCAATTGCTCTTGTATATAAACCTCTTTCTTATACACATATGTCTATGAATTTGTTTCTCTAGTCAACCCAGACTACCACAAAGCTCTACATGGTTTTTTATAAGGTGCCCTGGTGGTACTGTCAGGTAAGCATTGGATTGCTATCCCAAAAGTCAGTGGCTTAAATCTACCAGCTGATTCTTGGGAGAAAGATGAGGCTGTCTGCTCCCATAAAGCTTTACAAAATCCTTGAAAACCCTATATAGTGTTGCTACGAGTTGGAATCAACTGGTTGGTTGATTCGTATTGCTTCTAATAGCTTGCTGTGGTGAGAACCACTCTCTCAGAGGGGCTTGGTTTTCTAATTAATATCACAAGCTCTACAGAATGTCTTCTCTAAACATAATTTTAGTACATTATGCTTGGATTGGAGCCTTGGGTTAGATGTTGGATTGCCGATCCCAAGGTCATATTTCAAAGCTAACAGCCACAATGGGAGAAAGATAAGGCGTCTGCTCTCTTAGATTGACAGGCTTGGAAACCCTTTGGAGCAGCTTCACTCTCTTTTAGGACTGCTGTGGGTCAGATTCACCTTGATGGCAGAGTTTGATTTCTAGTGTTTTCCTTAATGCTGACAGATGTGACATGTGGTTGATAACATATCATTTGAATGTGCTCCCCTGTTCTGAAAGCTGTGGGTTGGACCCTTGGTAGTTGAGTCTTTGCCTGAGAGAATCACAGCAGTAGTGGCAGCAACAGATACTCACAGATACTCACAGCTAAGTTTATATGATCCCAAATCAAGATCGTATAGGAATTTTATCTTCCTCGAGTATGACTTGATTTAGAGGAATATTTTCATCTTTAAGGCCCATCATAAAAGCAGTTAGCTGTTATTGATTTTAGAATCCCTGGGTGGTGAAAATAGCTAATAAACTCAGCTGCCATGGGAAAGGTTGGAAGTTTGTAAGATTAATGGTGGGATGTAACACCGTTAATTCTGTCACAGTCCCAAGTTTTTATAAGAGGAGTTTCCCTGGGATGTGGACAACTGCATGTGGCAGTTACATAATCTACTGCCAACTTCAGGAAGGGGTGGAGTCTAACCTGTTAATCAGGTCACAGCTTGGTGAGCTCATTTGGAGGTGCAACGGAGAGAAATGGCTCACTGGAGACCAGATACACGCTCTTCCTGTGAGACATTCCTGATGACAAGCCAGATGGAGCTATTCTGATGGATCCAGAGCCGTGGAGCTAGAGGAGCCACATGGAGACCCATGCCAGTGCTGAGATGCTTCCTCCACTACTGGATCTACAAGACTTTCCAACCACTGGCCTGTGATCTACCTGCATTCAGCATCATTGCTTGGCTGCATGAGTCTAAAGAAGAATTTATGGACTAGTATTGGACATATGGGCTAATATCATACGTATGGACTTGATCTGGACTGGGCTGGGATGTTTTCTCAATATACAATTGCTCTTTTATATAAACCTCTTTCTTACAAATATATGAGTGTCTCTGAATTTGTTTCTCTAGTTAACTCAGACTAACACACCTCACAATAGCTAAAAGGAGAGAGAAGGTAGCGGGGAGAGAAGGAATTATTACCACCAAGAAAGAAGACCTGCAAGCAGAGTGTGTCTTTTCTTCTCAGGGTCCTTGTGCTGGGAAGCTCCTAGATCCAGGGCAAGATTGGTGCTCGGACACATGAGATCTCCAAGAGATGTCAGAGAATGACAAGGCTTACTGGTGCTGAAAGGAAACAAGGGCTTTCTTTCTTTTTTTGACTTCAGGTCTTTTTTCTAAACTTTGAGTGAACATAAAGAGACAGCCTTCCCCTAGAGTTGGGATCATAAATGCAGACTTCTAGCCTCCTAAACTGTAGGACAACAAATTGTTTTTTTACAGCCATCTACTTGTGGTATTCATGTGATGGTAGCACTACATAGCAGATAGGAGAATGGGTTGTTCTCTGAAGCAACCCAGCACTCTTAAGCGATTTTAGAGTGGAAAAGAAGAAAGGAATATTCTTGGGAACCATTAATCTAGAACAGCTTGAACGAGATCAATGAAGTATGTTCATTGCCTTCAGTGAAACGTCTACCTTTTTATTCTCTTTTTATTAGTCATTACCCTCTCTGTTGTCTATATATGCTACTTGGCACACAGACATGGATGCTTAATAGTAACTAGTCCTAGGAGAGAGAAATGTAGGCGCTTTCCTCCCAAGACACCAACTGGGATGTTCTTGGATACAATGCAAAATACCCTGGATGGGAGCCGGACATTAGGAAATCTTAGCTGATGGGAATATTGCTCTTCTAATCATCCTTTTCCATTTTTTTCTGTGAGTAAATGATTCCTGTCAACCTCACCATCCATTAGAACAGTGTCTGGACTGTGTGCTGCTTCAAATAGGCTTCCATAAGCTCTTGTGAATATAATAACATTTAACATTAAAGTACTACATGGTAAGTATGTGACTATATTATTTACACATACATTATTTATATAAGCCATCCCAAAAAACACCCCACAACAAAACAAACAAAAAAAGCCAAACTGATTTCATTGAGCATCAAAAAAAAATCCTGCAAGTTTAGTAGGGCTATTAGTCTCAAATTAAAAATGGTCTTTCATTAGATATTGTCTTAAAATGGAGATATTTGCTTACATTTAGAAAAGGTGTAAATCAAGGACAGCTTGTCTCCAATTCATGTTCTCTCTGCTTCCCAAGGCAGATTCTGCTGCATTGGGTCTGAAATGAGGTCCCACATTGTGCACATCTAACAAGCTCTTGGGTGGTGCCAGTATTGGTCTGCAGATAATACTTTGAGCAGTTTCTTTTAAAAACATTTTTATGATGTGTCTTTCTAGCAGTCATGGTTTGGCTTTGTGAGTGAATGACATTGAAATTTTGCACTGTCCCAAACCCCCATTATTTGTGTCAATATTGTCTAGTTACATAAGCTTTAATCCATTCAAGTCAACACTTCATGTATTATGTGTGGAAAGCTGAACTGTACATGTATACTTTCCTTTTATCAACAGTAGTTGAAATTCTATATCATTGGCTAAATTAATGATATGATCAATAGAATTACTTGATGCCCTCTGGGGATCATTTGTAATGTTCTTTATTGCAAAATGATAATGATGTCTCTAAAGTGAACCAGAAACATATATAAGCCATAGATAAATAAACGGTTTTGGGCTCATACTTAATCGTACCCTAATTTCAGAACAATTAGTTCTTATGACATGGCCCCACTTGATGCCTGCCCTCATAAAGAGATTACTGAAGATATGGTTGTTTTAGCAATGTGTGGTGAAGAAATGAGATGGTGCCTGGCTATCAGAAAGGATAGCATCTGGGGTCTTAAAGGCTTATCTTAAAACATGCAGCCATCTAAGTGAGTCATCAACTAAGTCCAAATGAAAGAAGCACACCAGCCTGCGTGAACAAGGATTATAAATAATAAAATCCAAATCCAAAGATGGATCAGTAGTAGAGCTTAAATTTGGAGCACTGGTTTGCATAAGGCTATAGATGACAGCGGAAGCCCAAAGTTCATTTGCTGGCTTCCTACATGGATTAGGTGAGGAGGAATTGAAGTGCTGGCTGATGAAACTCAAGGATTTCAGCCTTCAGTATGGATTACAACTCAATGTAAGAAAGACCAAAATCATCACAATTGGGCCAATCTGTAACATTGTGATAAATGGAAAAAAGATTGACGTTGACAAGGATTATGTCTTACTTCATCTACAACCAATACTCATGACAGCAGCAGTCAGGAGATCAAAAGGTGTATTGCATTAGGTAAATGTGCACAAGACATTTTTAGAGTATTGAAGAGCAAGGATGTTACTGTGAGGATGAAGGTGGTCTGACTCAAGTTATGGTATTCTCCATTGCATCATATGCATGTGCAAGTTAGATAAGGAAGATGGTAGAAGAATGGATGCATTTGAAATGTGGTGCTGGAGAAGACTACTGAAAGGACCAGGGACTGATAAAAGAACAAATAAATCTGTATTGGAAGTAAGGCCAGAGTTCCCCTTAGAAGAAATCATGGCAAGGCTTCATCTTACACAATTGGACATATTGTCAG